TTCATTCTTTTTTACAACTTTACGCCATCCGACGCATATATACTACTCCGTATAATGCAGCGGCGAATGGCATGGTCGGGCGCTCTAACCGGTCTTTGAAAGAGAGTATCCAAGTGGTACGTTTGTCTGGTACAGCTTGGGAGGATGCGATATTACAAGCTCTCTTTTCTTCGGGACCGCACATCACAGAGCAAAAGAAAAGACACCGGAAGAACCTAATGCTTGGGCGTGCTCTACAGACAAATATGAACGTCTCACTCCCTACTGCTGTAAACAATAACGCCGACGAAGTAACACGTGGCCGGAGGTATCAAGCCACCTGTCGGAAGTCCACCAGTCCGCTTCAACCGGGAGCATTGGATACGTATTAGTTGAAACACGGTGTCGAAAGTGTAGACCATGTTATCGGAACCCTAAAAGATAACACGTGTCCTGGGGCCTGGCACTTATTAGTTGGAAGATGGCCGCACGCTCAACCCGAGGAGGCTATTTACAGGTAGCAAGCGAGTGGATCAAGTCCCACTTTCTGCCTCGGAGAGGGTACGAACAGCTAGTCGCTACGTATGACAGACCGGAAAACAAGACCACCCGATCAATATGGAGTTGATACTCCGCATGACTAGGCGAGAGACAAAGCTGTTTAATCCACTCACACGTTCAAGCCTGTGGTACATGAGTTCGTCACTGAAAAAGCATGCACACCCGCATATACGTACACCACCAGCGAACTTGCTTAACCCCTATATGGATCGACGTCAGGTAGCTAATGGGAACTACACTGCTACTTCGCACACTATGGTAGACGGCATCCGATTACGGATTTGCCTGTCACTTTGGCCAGCCACAGGACGCCCGCGCCTACAGAGGGACCATGGATGGCTTGCGCTACACCACCCACAGCTTCATCCACACACTACATATCCAGTGTAAACCCGAAGGAATAAGACCGGGAGGCATGTGGATGGGAGCCACGTTTCATCAATGGAGCCAGCCCATACTCCTTCACAGGCAAACACAAGCACGCTCTATTTGGGGAATCAAATGCACACAAGGCCGTGGATGGGCCGTAGTCCGCTCCACACTGAGTGCATGGAACCACACTTCTAGCCTAGCAGGACCACTAGGACCGTGCACTCCGTCCCCTCCAGCAACGACCAACTGTCTCCTGGAGCCAGATGGACGAGGTAGTGGGTAATAGACAGGTAGGCACCTTGTCAAAATGCACATCAAGCGCAACCACACCTGGGATGGCAAACAAGAGCTAATCATTCAAAATGCCGATATCGAATAAAGTAAACGCATATGACGACATAAATACTCGATAAATGGGCATATGGAAGAAATTGGTTTTAAGTGAATCCGCAATAAGTACAAAATGTCCGAAAGCTATTTAAAAAATACCACGCGATAAAAGTACGTAAGTTTACCACAATTTGCATGAGCGACGTGTGCAAGTTAGGAGAAGGTTATCAAGTTCGCAGAACAAACCAAATAAAGTGGAATGAATTTTATCCACATTAATAAGACATAGTTTAAGTGTAAATTGGTTTAGCCCAACTGTAGTGAAGAAGCATCATGAATGCAACATCAGCCTCAGCGTGGGGCATTTGCCCACTATGGGGATCTACTTACGTACACAATACCTTCCTTCTTCCTTGTTCACCTGCTTTTCTTACTACCTTTCTTCAATAAATTCCAGTTTAATTTAAAGCAACCGGGATACTACTTGAGCTCTCACATTTGCGGCAGGAGCTTAGTAGGAAGCCACACTGCTCAATTTCACTGGTCTCGTTAATAGTCCGCACTCTAAGACCGATAGATCAACAATTGCACTCGCACGCACGTTGGACACACTGGGTACTGACATACGTTGTGTCAGAAACGAGGAGCAATGATCTTTACGGGGTTGTCGAACTAACTGCGTCCGGATTTGTCTCTCGCTATTGGCTACACGCATCTGGGAAGCTGATGTTGCAATCACTAGCTAAGCTGAGGTGGGCATCGTACACAGCTTGAAGACGGAGTCATAATTGTAGACTGCATTCAAGTGAGCAGCCGTTTGTGTTTAGTCCGTTTAACGATATCAACTAAGGTTAATTTCCAAAGTGGTACCAGGCTCTATTTGCTTGTAGTTAACGCTCATGTCCCACCGACTGCAATCCAGATGCTGCCAAGGATGAGTTCTATTGCGAAATGAACACCCTACGTTGCAAGGCGACCACTTCAGTTATGGTGGTTTTGCGGGGATATGGATGAGCGAGTAAGTATTCTGAACCTCAGCTAGGTGGCAACTAACGACTTAACTCGTAATGGACTGACAGCAGCAAACGGCTGTTGCAAATGTACTTTTTCATATCATGAGCGCAGTGGGCGCCAAAGTGCCACTTGGCGTCCCCTATGCCTCGCCAGCATTAGGCATAAATAAATGACGTTGCCATAGGTTACAAGTGTTTTGGTTCATTCCTGGATTGTCGGTCCCTCTGGAATGCCTTGATCGACCCTAATCGTGCTTTGGTGCGTAGTGCTTTGTTTATGGACTTTACAGGGAAGAGTACCAAGCGCCTCCCTAGATTACCAACCGAGAATTTTACCAATCATTCGGCCATTTAAGCTTACCAGGATAACCTGTATACCGAACTTCCACCTTCTGGCTCTGATAGTACTACGTTACAGTGAAGTAGAATCTCGGCTGCCGCGCACAAAGCGGCAGCCACTGCATGCAGCACCATCAATCATCATGGCACCAGTCACTTGATATCCGTGTGGTCGGTGAACTTGCTGGAATCGAGAAGAAAACTGGCTGTTTGCTCCGAGCACAGTATAACCAGAAGGGGATTTAGCCACGAACTAAAGCAGAGCATGCATGCTGACATGAAGTCTGGTGGACCAGTAGGGATCAAGAAATGGAGGAGGCGGGAGCAGTAAGCAATTGTCGCAAGCTCATCCAACTGATCCGAAAAATTCGCCCTAAATGACTAGACGCTAATGAGACAACCAGAGAAAACGCCGGTGCCTTGATTCACAATAAGATGTATCATCTGACTCGTTGGGTGGGACACCTTAGAAAACATTTCAGTTGGTCAATTGCCCCGCCGGTCACCTTCTCACTCAGATAGTGCTTGCCTTGCCATTGCCGCTTAGTTTAGAGTCGCCATCTGAAGCTGTGCTTCAGAACGTGAGCACAGCCCTTAATCTTTTTCCAGCTGCTGTTCCGGATGGTCTGGAACCCCGGGCTATTTAAAGATGGATATAATATTCTCCGCAAAGCAGGTGCAGAATGAAGGGAACATCCCAGCTAACTCTAGTGTATCAATCATAAAAGTAATATGCAGGAAAGGCGGCCGCATCGCTTATGCTACCTGCATGGATATAAGTCTAGCGCACGTGGCAACAAAACTACTGGCTTCAATTCTCGTCCTTCGCTAAACTACGAAACACAAAATTCCGGATTAAAATAAAAACAAGAATGTTTCCGCTTAAAAAGCGGCTGTATGGACCACGCTGTAGCGGGTGCTAGAGTAGCGCCGAACGTACCACTAACGGAAAACAGCTGTGTTCCAGGATTCCAAGAGCTCGTTGTATTCAGTCGCTCCATCTATTTTGTAAGAAATACTTGCCTATGAAGTTGCTTCCATGAAATAGTTGAACATTTTACATATTTTATACTATGAGACCACCTACTGCGTCAAAGACTACGACAAATTGTTGGATGTCATTTCGAGAACCAGTAACGTTTATCAGTGTTGTCCAAGTTTCACAGTCTTTCAAGTTATTCGTTGATTCCACCATAGAGGGTTGGCTTGTAGAATCTTACGATGGAAAACTAGTTGATCTTGATTATGCGGACGATGCTTTTCTCCATTTAACGAGGTTAGAGTGGCCTAGTGGATCCTGAATAACCTCTCTAGAGCGGTCTCACCATATGGGATGCGCTTCACATGTTCAAAATACAAAGATATATTACACAGTCACCAGCCAGTTGATGAGCCTTTGGAAGTTGATTGCAGGCAACTCGATCCAATTAACTTGGTAGCTGGGTCAGCAACAACCTGTGCATAACTGTCGAAGTCAGTTCCCGTATTACAAAAGACAGAGTTGCCTCAGCGTATCTGTGACATCTGCGGTGTCAGCAAGTGCTTCCCTTCAGACTGAAAGGCAATGCTCACAAGACCAAAGTAAGGGCCGTCCTGAGCGCCTTTCATTGTGAGGGTTTGCGACGCCTTCCTATCTTGATCTTCGCTGCCTAAGAAGTATTGCTAGTGTCGGTTTGCGTCAACGTGTTTGAAACAGTGATACGCTTAAGCAAGTCCTATGTACAGTTATTGGGGCTAATTCCTTTGAACAAGATAGAACTGAATAAGTTTTGTTGGCTTGGGAACGTAAAACTTTTGCCCGGTCACCGATCACCCAGGAGGGCCTTGTTATTTTTGCCAAATGTACAGTGGCGTAAGGCACCAGGTTGACGAACGCTAGCCTGGCAGAGGGAAACGAAGTGACTGACGACCAAATTGGCTGCCGCTGGTCTGTCCCGCCTTCCAGGCTGAAATCCACGTAACCTAGGTTGTGTTTGGCTTGGGAAGTTACAAGACATGAATAGCAATCAACACCAATGCCGCATCTGCTTTCGTCTCGTATATGGACCTCCTGTTTAAAGTGAGTGTGATGTTAAGTTCTCTGCAAATAATTGCTGATTATGACGCGGGTCAGTGAAAGCTGCAAAGAAGCTATCTAGCCGATGCCGCCTTATCATTCACGATAGCCAACCGTTTGTGACGTTGTTTTGTTGACGAGGGGTAAACGCCTTGGGCACTATTGATCTACGCGAGGTCCCTCTTCTCTCCCGTAGTTCGTTGTAGCGATACAGCAGCGAAGCATCAGTTAAATGGCAAATGCACTGCTTTCGGTGATTGAATTCAAACCAAAATCGCACATGCTTTCAACAATAAATACCAGTTTGAGCGAATAACAAGCAACAAAACTCAAGAGTATCCGCCTCATTGTTATATGTTTAGATGGATGGTCGAGTCATTAAACCAACTTTGCCCGGCTTCAATCCGATTTGCTGTTAAAAGTAGGAATTCAGCCGTTTGAGTGAGCATTTTTGCCATCATCAGTTCCGCCATTCCCTTCAGTGGCGTGTCAAGGGTGTGCATCGAAAAGCTTACCGGTTCTTGATATCCAAATTGTTCCAAATTGAATTGAACCGAGGGTTGTGCTGCCTTTTCCGACATCTTATCTGGCATTTTGCAACTCGTCGTTATATCAGGAAGAACCGATAGGGGCAAAATTGGCACTAAAGCAGGGGAAATGGATATGGCTTGCTTGTTGACATGGTCAGAACGTGCGATTTGTGATAAATCCGAAGACTGTGGAAAAGTCTAGTGAAGAAATCAACTAAGAAACATTTAACAGCCTTATCTTACTGCAAAAGATTTGCTCAACATTTCTCTTTCTTTAACATACATCTGTTCAGCCATTCGTGTAGCCAATCCGGCGCTGAGGTATCGCGCACTCATTCTTACGAACGGTTCCCCTCGTTGCTTCTTTGCATTTCTTCTGCAAGCTTTCAAATATGCGCAAATACGTTCACAATGGAAGGAAGCACCGAATTCCGGGAAATTTCGCTCTAGCACGGATCGCAGTGTATTCAGTAGCTGCTTGGGTTGATGTGAGTATGTCACAGTTCGGTCCATGAACTCATCAACCAATTTCCGCAAAAGTAACTGTTTCAACGTGATGAAGCAATACTTCAGACTATACATTATATGTAATCTCTCGTTCTGTGTACTGCTTCCGTTCAACACTTTCATCCCAAAAGTGGGCTAATGCATTCAGCTGTGACAGAAATACCGGTTCACCAAAGGCATCTCTTACTTCTAAATTGCTGAGCGCGTCTTCTGATTTTGAAGCTCCCGTATCTGAATTAAAGTTACCCTATGAGGAAGAATAACCCTGAAACCTGCAATAAACTTTACTTGAGATGAGGAAGCTTTTGCTTGGAAGCCACTCAATTCCTGTGTCCCATCAATTGACGCCCTTATTTCCTCTACCTTTGGTTCACCGACCTAAAGCCCATTTCTTCACTTACGGATTCGCTTACAACCCCCGTGCAGCCGTCGTTCGAATCCACCTGCACAATCGACATTTGTATGTTCTCTGGGCTCGTTCGTCGAAAATGAGAGGAAAAGACCCTTACACCACCTAGGTGCTGTAGTTTGTCCTACTTATCGATCGGACATGAGATATAACTGGTGCCTGTGGGAATCAAACTTGTAGCCTATCGATCGAGCACCGGACCAATTGATTCTGCATAGCCATCGCTGTAAATTGGGCAACGCCTCACCGTATTGATAGCTGTTGGCTGTGTTACTTATCCCAGAGTTTCTTCCCTATGAAGAGGTAGACAGACCACAGACGATACCAGAAATAAGTGCGAGTGGCGGAATAAGTTCCTACACACGAATTCCTTGAGTGTTAAACCTAATCTGACTTCAAAACACGTGATGAAACCCGTTACGTAGCGCTGATATACCCAGTGAGTTCGATGAAGCATTATATAGAGGATTTAGTTGTGCAACCAGCACGGTACAGTATGCAGAATATTTTTCATTTTGTGTTCCACATATGTCGATAACTTCATAAGAGTAATCTGACTGTACCTCCCCTTAAACTATAGAACCAAATTGAATGCCACAAGCAACAAGCGTAGGATTTCCTCTAAATAGAAAACACTGACATCGCTATCATGGTGAAGTAAACGCACATTTTGTTGAAAACTTCTGTTACGATCGGAGAACCAGTCAATGTCGATTTAGAAGCTTCCGGTAACTGAGGACAAAGCTACAGTCACGTCATTTTATCCACTCGGTTTAGAAAATATAACACGCTATCTGTACTGGAACTTGTTCTTACCAACGAGGAACAAATGTTTGATGCATTGGATGCAGACTGCACTTTGTGCCACAGTGTCCATGCAATCATTCGTTTCGAACGCATCTGCTATGCGGAATAGCGAAATGAAAACCCTGTGACGACACTACTATTTAGCCTAGTTTGTCAGTGCCACAACCTTGTCGTTCATAACGGAAGAGCCGCAGGTCGTCGCCCGGCCGGATTCAATCGACTGGTTAAAAATTCTCCATACTTAAGCGATTTTAATGTGACGAAAGCCGTTTTTTCGCAAAGAGCAGAAGTGAAAATGAATGACACAACGCAACGCAGCAAGACAAGCTTTTGATTATGATTCCAAAAGCTAGGGACAAATGCTTAGTCCAACCAAATTACTGTTCTCAAGTGCCCAAACAAGACAATATTGTGCATCAACAGCCCACCGCATAGATCTTTATGACCGACCACAACCTGCTGTTCAAGTATGCCAATTGCTTTCGGAAAGTGGGGCAGGGAATATTTTCGCTCTGGTCCGCTGTTTGTCCAACTAAAGAGCTACAGAACCAGCAGCGATTTGCGGCCGCAATATGCCTCTAGTTTCAGCTCTTACCATCAGGCCATTTTCAGCTTCTGTTGTCCCGTCGCCGGCAAGCAGATACCTCTGCTTTAAAATAGAAGCTGTTTTGCAAAATCTGACGTATCTACACATTTACGGCTCGCTTGGGGTCGATACCATACGTCCAGAAATATGGGGAGCAGTTGCTGGACAACTGGAAGAGTTTTAGCGGTTCGATCCGTGTTGTTTACTTCAGAACCAGTTTCCGTGCTACGTCTGCGCGTTCCGTTTTATCCGTTGGGCTAACGTTCATAATGAACAACCTACGCAATACCTAAAGTACATCATTGTTCGAAGTTTCCCGAACTCCCAACTTCCAGGGAGTTTGAGACCCACGTACATGACTGGGATCAGCGACGCTTCATCTGTGAAGTGCTCTCATTTAATAATGTGATCACTAATCCAACATCAAACTTACTTTCATCACCCAACTGCAAAGGCATTGGTCCTTGATTGTTGAGAGCGAAATTACAAATCAAATCGAGAGTAGGAAAGGTAATCCAAATTTGCCACAAATACGCAAAATTCAGCCACGCGGATTACGTACAAAGGCGGTAGACACCTAGCCACAAATAGACAAGTTAGCAATGAACAAGCAGCTCACATGTGCAACCTTGTCAGCATGATGTTAGGAATCCGGATACTATCGAATCGCCCCGACAGTTGACGAAGGATGAGGTTATCAAGCACCTGGTAACATTATGCATACTACGCATCATCCTGGAAGGGGAATAATGCTTGAATATGCACTACAACAAAAGGAAACGATTTGCAACCGACCACACAATGATCGATTTCGACTCTCAGCAGTAATTCGCATTCACAAACGCGCTTCTAACCTCGGAGTACCTCCCCTGCCTGTTTATCAAAGCACAAGCAATTCTTCTTAAATATACCGAGCTTCGCACTCGTCAGATCACAACGCCTTGTGACATCGTCATGGTAACCGAAGCAATGCTGAATACTGAGAGCATAGGTGCTGAGGTTGTCCTGCCAGGCATCATTCTTCAAAGAAATGATGGATCCAACGAAAAAGCGGGGTAACCCCATATAACCGATATGCCTTGTATATTGCTATTGTCGATGATATAGAAAAACAAGTTTCTGACCATTTTTAGTGCCATCTATGTCGGAGAAGTGGGGATACGTGTTTACCAGCTGTCATTCATCTGATGATGGACATGAACCCTTACGCAATCTCAGCCAACGACTCAAGACTACTCTGCAATAAGTACTCGCCGTGGTATCACAAAAAAACATTTCACCGTTCCAACGAGCTTCATACCTGGTGAAGAAACCAACAGTTTTGGACTTTGTGCTCATCAAAGAGGCTCCAAGGGTTGCTATCATAAACACGGACGCATTGCTTGGTCGCGGCAGTTATACGGGACTGCTCTGCGGCTGTATCACTGAAGGACAGTACATCAGCGTAAGCACGCCCATATGGTCATAAACTGCATCAGCTTTTCCGACCTCTTTCGAGAATCTAACTGGTCATTAGGAGCCGAGCATCCGCCCGAAATCGTCTGAAAGGCGGTTGTTACCCAGTTCATTGGGCGTGGCAAATGCGTCGGAAACAAAGTCTTTTGTCCGAAGCAAATACAGTCTCTCCTGAGGAGCCGAATTCGCAAGTACGTAGTCTTAAGAGATTCAGTTTGGTGCGCTTATAAAACCTGTGTAATTTTGCGTCAAGTTGGCCCGAGATGACAAACGCCCTCGCCAACAGGATTTAGTGACAAAACCAGTACTAAGCCATGAATGCTCTACAGGCATGTAAACAAGTTCCTGAGTATGCCGCGCGAGATCACAGGTGCAGCAGATGGTCCGGTACTAACTACACAAGAGGCGGTCTGCATGCCTCGGCTAAAAGTTGCCTGCACTTTCCACAGTGAATCTTCATCTCACCCGATTTAAGTCCCGTTAAGTCCCATATTGCTCATGTCAGAAAATTTGTTGAACTGATTATGTTAACAGGGCAAGAACAACCAACATTTTAAGTGAACAAATTTGCATCTAATGTGTTTCGTTTATTCTCTTCAGCCGGTTACATAAAATGAGTGAAAATTTCTAACGGTTGTCAATATCAAAAATCGTTGGTTACTTGCGTTGGCTAGCATGTCATACCAAGGTATAGCAAGATTGGCCACAAACGCAAGTGGATTGCATAGGTTAAGCTTCAAACGCCGGATGGCAGAAGCCGCTGCAACAAGCAACAACTTGGGGTTGCTCTGTCTATTGATGACCTTGTATGCTTCACGGGGATTCTGGCACATCGAATAAGAGCCGGGCAACAGAGCTGGCAGATAACGTTGCGCCACTGATAGCAAAGTTGCGCGGAAAGTGTTCAGAAATCCAGGTGAACTACCCTCTCTCTCCGGCCAATGTACATGCTACTGCAAGTGCACTTAAACTGGTAAACATATGAGGCGGTGCCAGTAGAGTGAGGCCTGTCCAAAAGAGGTCCATGTAGTAGGCTTTGATTTTGTGGCGCAACACAAGCTCAGCTGTATAGTAACCTCGTTTTATGGCATAACGTAAGCGATTGCAGAAACTTCTGTCATTTTCTTCCCCTTTTAAGGTGGTGAAATGAATAGCTTTTTATGTGGAGCTTCAGTTCGCTGTTCGTGCGGCCTGTTTTTCTCCCCATACCTTGAAATAAACTTGTCACGGTACCCGTTTTCACATGGGGTGGATGCGATAGCCTATGGTTATTCCGCAATCGTTTCCCTTTAACAGAGACGGCGAGCTCTTACAAAGATACACGAACCAATGTGCACTTGTAGCTCATGGGAAAATAGCTGTTGAAGCTTAAGTATTATTCCGTTCAGTTCGGTTTGTGATTGATTGATTGACCTGATATTCTTTCCAAAGCTGCATCCAAGAAGTGGAACTTTCCTGATGCTTCACTTTCCATGATGAACTCAATCTTTGAATGATATTTATTAAACGTGTTCAGCATGCGTTCCGCTTGCTGGGCTTCGTTCATTACCACAAAGGTGTCATCAGTACATCGGGCGTAAAAGTAAGCTTCCTGTACAGAGTGACAAAGTTTTGTGTTTTCTTGATGGGCTACACCCTCAAGCTGCCGATAGAGACTTTTATTGAAACAGAATTGAAAATATGTTGTACTGATAGGATGCGTGTGCACAGCTCTCCGGGAATGGACAAAACGAGACCGAAAGTATTAAAGACAGCCACTATGAATATCGCCGTACCATTAGACTGTTCTTTCAGCGAAACCTGGAGAACTTGAGTGTTCTCGCAATGCGGAAACACGAAGTAGCCAATCTTATTTGCAAGAGTTGCAAGTGCGCGGACCGCGCGAACTACCGTCCAGTCACTCCTGGTGCTATCCAAACTAAAGGGTATTAGCGCGGAGACGCTCATGAAATAGCTTGGGAGGAATAATATAATATTGTTACGGCAGCATAGATTTTGCTGCAGGCAATCATCCGCTACAACATTTCTGCTATCATGAGCAAGCTGGAAGGTATCAGTCAATGTCAGAATGGACTTATGTTTAGCGCTCGGTCGCCTGGACCACTGTATGCCTCTTAATAACCTCCGGTGACCCTGTACTGGGTTGGATAAGCACCTTCCTCCTTTGATATCAGTTGAACCTGAGAGTCCGCAACTGTATTTCCCACCCAATGGAAGTGGAGTGTGGTATGCCCCAAGGATCTCTAACTGGATAACGCTCATTCCTAACGACCTTACCGGCGTAGATTAAAAGATCTGGCAGGACATCAAGACAGGGGACGGTAACACAACACTGTAGA